ATACGGCCGTGACCGTGGCTCACATGACCACGCAGCTTCCTGGTCTTCTTCCGCTTGATATTCGACTGTAAAAGATAGCAGAACAGAAACGTGTTTTCATTATCCATTCCATTCCTCAATCATTTTCACCCACGTGCTGGAGGTTATGTTTACGTGCAGCATTCGCTCCAGTAGCTGTGCGCACTGCGCCATTGCAGTCAGTGGGCAAGCGAGCTGCGGCAGTCAATGTTAACTTTTCTTTTTATTCCGCATCGTTTACCTGCCCACAAACCACATTTTAGGTGCACCACATTTACCGACGTCCACTCACCATCTTTAAAATTGTAGGAAAGAAAGAAGCGAAGTTGGCTGCGGTTGTAGCAGTGTGACCGCCCCGCAGCGATAACAAAAAATACCATCCGACCTGAGACGAAATACCCTTAATGACCATTTTGGTGTCAAAAAATATCACGTACACACTATTCCAAATTAATGTTTAATTTCCTTTTATAAATGTTATTATTATATGTAATCTGTAATGGTGTTGCGTATTTTTGAATATTGAACGTTACTTTTACAACGCAAACATTAAATTTGTACACTTTTATAGCCGGATGCTATAGGCACATTTATTTATATATGGTTTGGTGCATACTATTTTACAAAGTGTTTTGAGTGTGAAAAAAGTTAACAAATTAAAGTTTTTGAATTATTGTGTTTTATGGTTTGTTAGAACCATAGTGCTTAGTTAGTGACAAAATAAAAGAACGGGCAAGCTTTGAAACTCGTAATGTAAATGGGACAGCGAAATTTATAATTACAAAGAAGCATTGAAAACAGCCTATAGTTTGGAACCTTAAGTTTGGGAAATATCGAATAATTTGGTTTAGAACACTGCTAAAGACAGGGCTGTAAAACGATCGGGCTGCCATGTTAAAATAACAGGTTATGTTAAGCTCACCGATTTCTGTTAATTGCCAAAAGTTCAAATATTTGCTATTGAATTTGGTTTGAATTTTTTTATTTAACAACCTAGATTTCCTCCACTAGACGGAATCGCTGATGCTGATTTTCGGGCACAACATTAAAGAACTTCTTATAGATGGTCTGGTCCTGACGGCCGGCGTAGTTTCGCTGAATCCAGGTGTGGTCCCAGTTGGGATCGATCGCCTCGCAGGTCACATAAACCTTGCCGTGCTCCATGGCGAACAGCGTTCCGTTGCGGCCAAAGCCCACCTTTTAATGGGAATAAGAATACGGATATTAGAGCCAGGAAAGCTCAGTCAACCACTACTTACATTCAGGCCTGGATGGAAGCGCGTGGTGAGCTGGGTGGCGAGTATGGTGCCCTCGGAGACATAGTGGCCATCCTGGACGCGCCATCCACGATGTTTGGGCCTCGCATGACCCTTCTTGTTCCTCGTACTTCCGCCGGTTTTCTTGCTGGCATTGCGCACGGTGGCTAAAGTGGATTGAATTGATTATAATCTGAAACTGGCTCGTGGGCAGCTCTTACTCATCAGCGGCTGGTCCGCCTTTAGGCACTGCATTGTCAGCTTTTGCATTATATTAAACGACATATTTGTGATTTTAGTCCAGTAACGAGGTTTGTTTATGCAATTCCAGATGGCGACCAGTGTGACCCCGAGTTTAGCTAGAGCAGCCCATTAACAGACTGTGGGCCATTGTTGCCAACTAGAGCTCTTAAAATATAGCTATAAAATGATATATCAAAAATAGCTACATATTTATTTTTGTATTTACCTGTATGTTTTATGCTTTAATTAACTATAGTATAAGCTATTAATTTAGCACACCTAGCTAAGTAGCTAATCACATGTAATATTCAAATATTATAAAATCATGTAATAGCTAAATAGGCATCACTGCTGCAAGCGGGTGACTGGAGTTTGGCACCTTCTGTGGTAGAGCAACACTTGCCGGTCATTGAAAATTTTAATTCTTCGTTCTTACGAGCCATTAGCATTAAGTTTAAAGTTTACCATTAGTATGACGACGTGGGGCAATATCTGCCGCATCTGCAGCAGCCCCGCAGACTACGAGATATTCGCTAAGATTCCCACGTACTTGCACGGCTCCACAAACGAGTTTCTCAACTGGCAAAAGCCCATAAACATTCTGCTGGAGGAGACGACGGGCCTTAAAGTAAGTGACTACATTGTCCAGTAACCTCTTGTATATAAGTGCCTCTTTCGCCTGACCGTAGAACTCAACCGACGACGGGCTGCCACGCAACATATGTGCTTCGTGCATCTCCTATCTCAAGCATGCCGTCACATTCCGGGAGCAGTGCATCAAGAACGCTCTGAGCCTGAAGCTGGCGGAGCTCTACCAGCAGAAGAGGGTCAACATTTCAGATGCGAACAAGATAGACAAGGAGAGCGCCCTGTTCACGGCGGAGGATCTGCGTTATGTGGAGCAGAGGCCTGTGCACAATCTTCTGCTGAACAACAGCACCAAACTGGACCCTTCCAAGGACAAAGTGCACAAGCGACTGCTCAATCAGGCGGCTCCCCAGCTGGACGGCAATGCCGAGCAGAGGATGCAGTACGTAAACGTGCTGTTCAACAAGCAGCAGTCCCACAGCCGCATGCCCAGGCACTCGCGGGATGGCGAGCTGCCAACGAGCAGTGGTCAGAATGACGATGAAGATGACGACTATGCGGTGGCTAGTTCCAGCGATGACAACGAGGAGGCGGCCCTGCTGCGCAAGCACAAGAACTGCTACAACTACACCGAGACCAACTTCGAGGAGGACGATCCCATGGAGCAGGACCAGTTGCAGCTGCGCGACATCAAGGTAAATATACCGGAGCCCATGTGGAAGGAACGCAAGTGCCCGGCATGCTTCAAGCGCTTCATGTTCGAGGACTCGCAGCAGTTGCATCTGGACAACTGCGTCGAGTTCCAGTTCGTCACGTTTGTGACGGAGATGACCAAGTTGCTGGAGATTAGGCGACAGAAAATGGTCTCGCCGCACGAGTTCATCCGTCGCATGATATTCGCTCTGCACAAGACCTGCACCTGGCTGCAGGAACATTCCATAGACTCGCTTCTGGCCGAGAAGCTCAATCAAGTAAGGGTGTCCAACGGTGAAAGGAGAGCTGAGCCAACAATTCCTATAGAAATACGCGATCCCCGCCCGGTGGAGGAACCACCTCTTTTCGACTTTGCCAGCGGAACGACGACTCCGATCACGGAGGAAAACAATGTGCTGTACGCCATTGAACGTACTGAGAGCCGCCATTCTCAGGGCACGCCCACGGTTAAGAAACCCATTCCAATTCGCGGAAGAGCCGCGGTGGGAATCGGCCTAGATAAGCATAGGGAGAGGGCTACGTTCCTCGAGAAACTGCAACGGGCTGCAGTCTCTCCAGGAACAGTTTCGCAAGGCCCAGCGCCCGTTTTCTCAGCTCGCTGCGGGCAGTGCAATTTAGTATTTGACTCGGTCTCCGAACTGGAGGTCCACAACCACAATGTCCATAGGGGCAATGAACTGAACGCCGACGACGAAGCCAAAAAGCGTCAAATAATCGCCCTCTTCGAGGATGATATATAGGTTTTCCAAAGTCCTTTTTTTATAGCAGGTGGCTTAATCAAACTAGTAATCAAGTTGGCCACGTTGTATCTCTATTTTATTGTTGTATTGTGTTTGTTTATTATTTATTTATTTAATTTATTCTGTTTCCATTGGTGATTTACATCTGCTTAGTGGTAATCCATGTTCACTGACATTCTCATGTACTCAAAGCTCATTATATTTATATTTACTCTAAGACCAATAAAGAGATTCCCAAGACTTATTCTTAACCAAAACCCCTATGCGTATATATGCAAGCTATCCAATAACAGGTTGGAATCGGCTACGTTTAATTGCAAATAGTTCTTGAGCAGCCGCATCGAGTCCAGGCTGAGATCTGGATCTCGCAGGACGAAGAGCTGGTTTAGGGTTTTAACAAGGTTCTGCGGGTCTGCCAGTGCTCCTATAAGACTTGGGTCACCTAGGGCAACCAGATTGGCCATTACGCGCACCCCGTAGATCAGGCTAAGACGGTCGGCTGGTGGCGCCAAGGTGGCTTCAAAGAAACGCACCAGATATTCGGCCTGTTGAGCACCTAGCTTGTGTTCCTGTTTCACGATTTCCAGTTGGTGCACTATGTACATGAAGTACTCGTTGCCGGGCTGATCGGGGATCTTCTCGGGCATATTTTGGGCAATATACCTTCGATCCTCGTCACTTACATGCTGCAGGCAGTGGGTGGCTACCAGGGAAAGGCAGATGGCCGTATCTTCTTGGCAGCCATTGGGATCACTGTAGAGCCTCCACAACTTGGGTAGTAGTTGCATTTGCAGCAGTACCCGGCCGGCCTTTTCGCACGTGCCCAGAATGTTGGCCAGTGTCCACAGGCAACTGCGCTTGAGGCGTTCGGCCTTGCCGTCGAGGTAGGTGACCATGTAGCTGCCCGCCAAAGTGACAATCTTATCGGAGACATGGGCCTCGCCCAGGGAAAGATTACACAAGCACTCTACAGCATCTGTCTGTCGCTGAATGTGGGGTCCTGCAAGTCAAGAACACTGTATATAAAGATACAACTGATAAAGATGAAATTATGGTTACCAGTCAGCTCCTTAACAAGGACCTGAATTGCGCCAGGAATAGCTGCAAATGCGTTGATGTTGTCGTTGCCCTGGAGGAACCCCAGTGACAAGCGGCACAGATCCTCGGAGGTGGCGTGCTTGCGCCGCTTGATCCTGCTGGCCATTCCAATAACGTCCTTGGTGCCCATCTCAAGGGCCGCCACTTCCTGCTTAACCTGTCCAAGTCCAATGCGCAAGGAGTCCTTCGCCTTCATGCGGCACTCAACGCGCTGATCCCTGGCATATCCCCGGATCTTGTTTCGGAGGAAAGTTCCCTCCGCTGTTGTGGTCAGAGAGTTCATTTTTTTAAATTTTAAGAAATCCTTAGCAAGTGAGCAACTAGCCGATACATCAATAACTATTTATCGATATCAAAAATGGTTAAAAGCACTTGCTCCATCAGCTGTTTAAGTTGTAAACAAATAAGGTAAGCTTATATTTCTGTTAATAATTTATTCGGAGTAAGTAATGCATATTTAATTTCAGGGCTATGGTGGCCTTGTGTCGCATTTGTAATCTGAACTCGGAATCGTGGATTAACATATTCAGTGGGACCCAGGAATCCGATTTCCCATATGTGGATGTGGTTTCTTTCTACACTGGCACAGAAGTTCAAAGAGGAGATCCATTTCCTGAAACCATTTGCATGATGTGTCTCGAGGATGCTCGAAAATCCTGGCAGGCCTACCGAAAACGTCTACAGAAACAGGAAGTTGTCTTTGAAATCTCAGCATTCCACAATGAGGAGCACCTTTCCGAAAAAGACCCATTAGGAACAGTCTTCGTCACTCCAGACCGCCAAATAAAGGAGGAGGATTTACTGGAGGAGGAAGTATTCAAGGTTCCGGACTGCGACCGAGAAGACTTAAGTTGTAAATCAATAGTTAAGGAGGAAGAAACCGAAGAAGTGGAATTACATTTTAACAAGGCTCCAACAGTCCACGTCCAAATAAAAAACGAACCAATTGAGGATGAATTGTTCGCCGAAGAAAACAGCCAAGCATCTGAAAGTAGTGTTAGTCCAACAGATTGCCTGATAAAAATCGAGCCAATTGAGGAAGAAATGTTTGAGGATGAAGCTTGCACGATAGGAGTTGAGCGACCCTACAATTGCAGTGATTGCCAAACGTATTTCAAGGAGGAATCTAGCCATAAGAAGCACATTGCGACCCACAAGCGACCACACAAGTGCTCCCACTGTCCGAAGTCCTTTCTCTCAACCTACGATCTTAAAAGGCATACCCGGATCCACACAGGAGAGCGGCCCTACTCCTGTGACCACTGTCCAAAGACCTTCTCGGACAAGACTACTTTGACGTCGCACGTGAGGACGCACAAGGGCGAACGGCCCTTCAAGTGCCCCGACTGCCCGATGTCCTTTTCGCAGCAGTGCAATCTTCAGAGGCACATCCGCTGTCACACGGGTGAACGACCTTTCGCGTGCCCCTACTGCCCCAAGTCCTTTACGCAACAGTCCAATCTGGGTCTGCACCTGCGAGCGCATTCCGGGGAACGCTTCGAGTGCTCTCTCTGCTCCAAATCCTTTGCTTATAATAACGATCTTAAGCGTCACTTACGCACTCATTCCGAGGAAAAAGTCCAGTGCTCCTTCTGCCCAAAATTGTTCGCAACCAGAGGAACTTTGGCTAAACATCTGAAAAAAATACACGAAAATGTATAAGCTATTAGAAAAATAAATGAAAATATTTCGTGTTCCGAAAATTAAGTTATTTAAATATCCTTCAACAGGTAAAGGATATGTGCATATATCGATATCCGATAATCGTTATCCAACCACCACCTTGGGCTGACCACAGGGTGACTCTAGCAGTTGTGTTTCTTTCAGCTGTTGAATATGGTAAACAGAAAAATTTGGTATTTGTTTTGAAAGCTACAACCGATTTGGATAAGTTAACAGTATTTCACTTTAGGAAAAACAGGACATGTCGCATTTGCACGAAAAGATCGAACTTTGTGATAAACATATTCGATGGGCCATCGGAAAGCGGCCTTTCCAATGTGGATGTGGTCTCCCACTACACTGGCCTAGACGTTCAACGGGGCGACTCCCTCCCTGAAACAGTTTGCTCGCTGTGCCTCGTGGATGCGCGGATTGCCTTCAGATCTAAGCCGTCCTGCCCGGAAAGTGACCAGCTAGATATCCGAGCCACGGAAGACAATCTAGACGAGTTAGGGGCGAATACAGAGAAGGAGATCCTCAAAATCGCAGAGCTCTGCGACGAAAGCGCAATAAAGAAAGAAGCTCTCGAGATACCGGAATACCAAGTAAAGCAGGAACGACTTGAGGATTCAGAATGCATATTACCAGACTACTCCCGTACAACTCCTTTTCAAATTAAGGAGGAGCAAATCGAATGTGAATTGCTCCATGATGAAGTATCTTCTAGCTATAGCAATACATTGTACGATGAAGTAATACGGCAAACAGATAGTAAGACAACATTCCTCGGTGATAGTAGGACTCATGAGTCGTTCTCGGCTAGAAATACCTTGACATCGCAGGGAATGCCCCACAAGGCGGATACTTCTTTTAAGTATCAGAAACGCTCTGCCCGGAAAATATTCTTCAGGTGCTCCTTCTGCATGAAGTGCTTTAAGCAGCAGTCCGATTTGGACCTGCACATGCTGAGTCACTCTGGGGAACGCTTCAGTTGCTCTGTTTGCTCCGAGTCGTTCGCCTTTAACAACGATCTCCAACGACACATGCGAACCCACAATACGAATTTAATCAAGTGTCCCAAGTGCCCAAGACTGTTTCAACATAAAACTGGTCTTAAAAATCACCTCCTTAAACACGGATTTAAATTTCATAGTCCCTAAAAGTACATGCAATTAATATAACTACAAGTACATCATAAGAAAAACAGTCATTTTATATTATATATTATAATCTTCGTTTTTTGCTTTATTCTACTGTAAAATAAAATTCGTTTAAATATTTTTCAAAATTTTACATATGTAAACATCGGTAACAGGTGTCAGAAAAACAGGGTGTTCAGTGCCTAACGAAACTTGAAAAGTGCTGATCACAACATTGTTGCGGTCAAAATACTTTAGTTTCCATGTAATTGAGGAGATATGTCGTGTTTGCCTGGAAAGGCCCAATGGCTTGGTAAACATCTTTGGCGCCAGATAAAAGATCAAAGTTTCCATAGCCGAGATGATCGCCCTGTGCAGCGGTCTTCCAGTAAGTCGAGGTGATCTGTATCCGACATGATTTGTCCGTCGTGTTTGGAGGATGCGAATAACGCTTTTTCGATTCGGCAAACCTGTGAAAGGAGCTAACAGTTCTACTGCCAGGTCAGGGACGAAGGAATTGAGGAGGCCCTTTGCGCCTTGATTGAAGAAGAGGACTGGGAGTTTTGGGAATGCCCAAATAAGTTTAGACGTAAGGATCTGCTCAAGATCTTAAACATCAGATCTTTAACCTTCTTAAATATCACACATTAAATTAATAAAATTAATCAAATAGGGAAATACATAAATATTTTGAATTTCGAACATCGATAATAAATCGATATGGTCCAGAGCACAGGGTGCCCAGTGTACTGCACACATTGTAAACAATGTGAACTCTTAGTTTATTTTGTTTAATAGTGGGATCAAATCAATGAAATTGCCTTTGAATTAAATAGATTACACGGAAAGGATTCCTAAATTATTAATGATTGCTCTCATAACCATAAAGTGTCATACAAGCGAAACTGCTTAAGTAGTTAAACAGGTGAGTAGTTTTGAGTTTGCTGTTTAAAAGTCAGCTTAATAGCTTTAGTTTCTTACAGGGATAATGGCGAAAATATGTCGTGTTTGCCTGGATAGTTCCGGTAGATTTATCAATATATTTGACGCCAGAGGAAAGACCAAAACTTCCATTGCCGAGATGATCGCACAGTGCACTGGGTTTGAGGTCAAACGTGGCGATTTGTTGTCGGAGATGATATGTCCACCGTGCTTGGAGGATGCGAAAAGCGCGTATTTGATAAGGCAAAGCTGCGAGAAAAGCCACCAGTTCTACTGCCGAGTTCGGGATGAAGGTATGGAGGAGGCATTATGCGCCTTGCTCGAAGAAGAGGACTGGGAGATTTCGGAAGACGAAGATGCGTGGATTGGATCTGCATCCGATGATGACGACGATGGAAAAGTCGACAGCATGGAGATAGTATTCGAATGTCGCGAATGCCCCAAGAGATACAAGCGAAGGGGATCGTGGATGAGGCACATGAGAACGCACATGGACGGACAATCCTTTCCCTGTCCCTACTGCATGCAGAACTTTAGATTTAGGATAACTCTCAAGGCGCATATGAAAACCCACAATTCAGCAAAACCCTACGAGTGCTCCCACTGCTCGAAGACCTTTGCGCAGCAGTCCACCTTGCAGTCGCATGAACGAACACACACTGGCGAGCGGCCATACAAGTGTTCGCAGTGCTCCACAACCTTCATTAAATCCTCAGATCTCCAGCGTCACATCCGCACACATGCCGGTGAAAGACCCTTCAAGTGTTCCAAGTGCACGAAAACATTTACGAGGAAATTTCACCTTCAAAACCATCTCCGTTCTCACACTGGGGAACGACCATTCAAGTGTTCCCACTGCTTGAAGGCCTTTGCTCTTAACCAGCACCTCAAGGTACATATTCGCCTTCACTCACCAGATCGTCCATTTCGCTGCTCCAACTGTCCCAAGACATTCCGACTGAGCAGCACCCTTAGGGAGCACAATCTCGTACACAGTTCTGAAAGGACCTTTAAGTGTCCTCACTGTTCCAGGTCCTTTAAGCAGAGAAAAACACTTGCTAGACATATTAACGGGGTACACAAATGACCTCTACGATTTTCTTAGATGATAAAATACAATTACATATTCGTTGGTATTGTAAGACCAAGGTATAAAACTAGTTTGTAAGGAATATACGTCTTTTGATATTTTTATGATGGATTAAAAAATGATTTTTGTGTAATCGTACCAACATCAATTTATTTATCGAGTACTCTCACGCTGCCATCACTGGCTATTTTGGGCATCCCAAACACAGCTGATCAGCTGTTGATTGTTTATGTGGGAGCGGACTGAAAAATTGTAATAAAAAGTGACGCAAAAGGAAGAAAAATGAACAATGATAACCCGAATATAGTTTTCAATCCCCTAATAAGCTCCATCCAGAAAGTAGTGCTCTATGAGACACGTGCGGTAAGAAATCACCACCAACAATGCCGTTTCTGAGTAATCACACACATTGTCATGCAGCGCTTGTATTTGGTGGGCAGCAACAATCGGGAGACTCGGTTCCGCCTCCTGACCATAGACCGACTGGCCCACAACAGGCTGAGTATCGAGGAGAACGCCAACGAGTTCAACAGCTTGGAGATCCGGCGTTTTGTCGCCTCCCTCACGGGTTCGCCCAGGGTGACGTCTGCTTACGGCGTCCTCGGGTTTGTGCGCTTCCTTGAGGGCTACTACCTCTTGCTGGTAACAAAGCGCAAATGCTGCGCCCACATCGGCCGCCACCTGGTTTACACCATAAAGGACACGGTGATGGTGCGTGTGAACGAGGTGACCTCGCAACGACCTCCGCATCCGCACGAGGATCGCTACAAGCGGATGTTTCAGAATATCGACCTCCGTAGCAACTTCTACTTTTCATACTCCTACGATCTGACGCGCACGCTGCAGTACAACGAGTCTGCGCCCCGCTACGTTGGTGCCAAGGTAGACCTCGACCGAGACGAACCCCTTCCCGATTGGAACACGCTAACCAGCAACGTGGACAAGGCCCATGAGCGCGTGGATTACGCGTTTCGCACCGATTCCCGCAAGCGCTTTGTCTGGAATGCCTATCTTTTGCAGCCCATGGAAGGCATTATGCTAAAGGACTGGCTTTTAGAGGTTACTCACGGTTTTGTCAGCCAATCGTGCATCAGCATTTTTGGGCGGCACGTTAACGTTTGCCTGGTAGCACGCAGGAGTTCACGATTTGCCGGCACTCGTTTCCTTAAACGTGGAGCCAACTTTCAAGGAGATGTGGCCAACGAGGTGGAGACCGAACAAATCGTCAGCGATGGTCAGAGAATCTGCGCCTTTACCCAAATGCGAGGTTCCATACCATCGCACTGGTCCCAGGATATTAGCAAAATGGTGCCCAAGCCGCAGATTCAATTGGACATTTGCGATCCATATGCGCAGACTCCATCGCTCCACTTCGAACGTCTACTCTTCCATTATGGTGCGCCGCTTATTATGCTCAATTTGGTGAAGAAGCGGGAAAGACGCAAGCACGAGTCTATCATCTCCAAGGAGCTAGAGTACAGTATCCGCTATCTCAACCAATTTCTGCCGCCGCCGCACCGCATGAAGCACATCCACTTCGATATGGCACGACAAAGTCGCCTAAGTGGAGGCAACGTCATGGAGCAACTAGCCATTCACGCAGAAAGTATTGTACAAATGACGGGGATGTTTTTCAAGGCGGCGGGCAGTGAGCCCGGCTTGCAGACTGGGATCGTACGCACAAACTGCGTGGACTGCCTGGATCGCACCAATTCGGCCCAGTTTGCCATAGGAAAGTGCGCTTTGGGTCATCAACTGGAGCGTCTGGGTTTTGTTAAATCCGCTAAGCTGGAGTTCGACTCGGATTGCGTGACGATGCTGGAAAACCTGTACGAGGAACACGGCGATACACTGGCCCTGCAATACGGCGGGTCGCAGCTGGTGCATCGGATTAAGACATACCGGAAGACGGCTCCCTGGGGCTCTCAGGGAAGCGATGTGATGCAGACCCTCAGTCGGTATTACAGCAACACGTTCAGCGACACCGAGAAGCAGCACAGCATCAACTTGTTCTTGGGCATATACAAACCCAGTTTGACAAAGCGTAAGTAATAAACTCTTATGAATTTGAAACATTATTTAATCTAATTCTCAACCAGAGGGTCCGCCCATTTGGGAGCTACAGACGGACTACGATATGCACAACGCATTCGTGCCAAGAGCGGATAGCAAGGCCATCACCGATTGGGTGCGCCACAAGGTTCGCGAGTGCCTACCCTATTCATGTGCGGATTCCAATAAATTGGTCAAGGAGCTGTTTCGCGTTCACACAAGCGGTCTGGAAATGATCGATGCCTACTCCAACTACCATCAGTCCTTCAAGTGGACTGACTTCAGCGAGCACATCGCTTTCGAGATCAGTCAGCTGGCACTGCGATATATGCCCACATTCCGCACTAACTTCAGTCCCTTCCAGAGGCAGATCCAGACATCTCGAAAGGCCCGTCAAAATCCCTCAATGACAGGGCAAAGCTCCACGGGTTCTACGAATAGCAATTCCTCCAGTTCCAGCGAGGGCGACGTTAGCTCCAGCGATGAGGAGTTGAGTGCAAGTTTTGCCGAGAAGGAGGCAAACCAGACGGAATCGTCCGAACCAGCTGTTGCCACTCTGGCCACAGGTCTCCCCTCGATGGAGGAAATCTATGGGTGCACCATCAATCCGCCCTCCAAGCAGAGCATGGCTGTTTATAAGAAGTACGTCCAGATGGGCAAGTTGTCCAGTGGTGGTGCGAGGCCAGCTCAGACAGCCGTTGCTCAGCGCGATCAGGAGCTGGCCAAGATTATGCGTGGCATTACCCTGCGTCCACTCAGTGACTACGGAACCGACTCTTATCTCAGCGTGCGTCCGCCGGTCGTTCCTCGCAAGAGTCTCATTGTCTATGCCGAGTACTGCAGAACTCGCAGCACCTTTAACGCCGTGCCCAAGCTGGAGGAATTTGATTTACTCTATCAATATGTGCAAAAGCTGTAGTCATTGATATGTAATGTCATCTGATATTTTAGTTTGTTGTCTCAAAATGTATTATACATTATATTAACTATTATATTAAGTTAGATAACCTCCTTAATCCAGTAGGCTCGATCTACAATTTATTTAAATACTTTAATTTCTGCAGTTAACTTACAAAAGTGATTCGTTAAAAATACTCGGAAATGGCTATTGTTGGTAGAGGTTCCTAACAGTTACTGGCCACGTGGTCCGCATGAGCGGGTGAGGCTTGCATGGCGTTGTAGCCGGACTTCTGGCCGAGATGGAGCAGGTGTGGGTTCGTTGGCTTGTACACGGTGGCCAGTTCCTGGGTCAGCATGAACTGCTCCTGCTCCGGAAAGTCGTGTTCGCAGTGATGTTCGCCGCAGATTTTGCACTCGTAGATGTTTGGTCTCAGCGTGTTTCGGATGCGCTACGAAGGGTTTTCAATATGGGGTTAATAATTGGACATAGGCAAATGCCAGGTGCAACATACTTCCCAAAAGGTATCTCCACCGGACCGCAGGAAGTTGATAACCGCATATCCCGGTATGCAGATCAGCGAGAAGGAGGCGAACATCCAGCCTATTCCATAGGCCCAGTCCGGATAGGTATAGCGTCCATTGTGGTAGGTGGGCTCGTGGTAGTTGATCAGACTCAACACCCAGATGGCCTGATGGCAGATGGCAGAAATCCCATGCTTTTAGATTAATTCTACATATGTAATTAAGACTCGGGGTTACTTACAAAGAGGAGGCACGGTCCCAGGACTAGCCAGCAGGACCTGAAATAGAATGAAGGCGCCTTTCCGGTCATTTGCTTCACGTTCTTCGAGAGTCTTCCCGTGCCGTAGAACCAGGCAATGGCGATCATTTGGCAGAAGGCCAGGAACATGATCGTCACGGAGGCGGCGTAGTGATCCATTAGCTGGAAGTAGTAGATGCCGCCCTGTATGATGTTGGGCATTCCGAAGAGACATGAGATGACACAGACGAACAGGACCACGATTTCGTGATAGCCCAGGTGTCGCTTAATCCACCGCGGAAAACCATCCTGTATGGAGGTGACCACCACCTCCACGATGGCAAACTGCGAGTTTAGTCCCAGGCAGAGCAGCATGAAGAAGAACATGACCGCCCAGAGCTGGGCGTACGGCATCTTAGCCATCGCTTGGGGATACACCACGAATATCATGCCAGGTCCATCACCGATGACGTCCCTCACATTGGTGTTCTGCTCCAGGGCCAGGTTGCCCAGCGTGGAGAAGGCAAAGATGCCCACCAGGAGACTGGTGATCATATTCACCGCACTCACTGCCACGGTATCCCGCAGGATATTGTTGTTGTACTTGTTGTAGCTGGCAAAGGAGATCATGGATCCGAAGGTGATGCCCAGCGAGTTGAAGTTCTGGGAGGCGGCGTTGATCCACACATTGGCGTTTTTTAGCTCCGACCACTTGGGACGGAAGAAGAAGCGCAGACCCTCCGCAGCTCCGTCCAGGGTCACCGCCCGCACCATCAGGATGATGATCAGCACAAACGGAAAGGTGGCCGTGAAGTAGCGCACCTTCGCCGACGACTTGATCGACTTCCACGTGGCGAAGTAGACCATCAGCCAGGCGCAGATCAGGCAGGCGAACAGCTCCCAGCGCATCATGCCCGGATACTCCAGGCCACCGCTGATCTGAAGGACCTTGTTTCTTTGGAAGGGAAATTACGAGTATAAGACCACAATGATTTTACTTATAAATGTATGCTATATGTTACTCGAAGAATTCCTCAGAAGGAGTGCGAGATGTGTCCGGCGCACTGGCATTCATCTCCTTGCGCTGCGGCACCCAGCAATCCGGCGTGTTCCACCTGGAAATCATTTATGGAAGTCCACTTATGAAGGAACCATAAAAGAATGAGAAACATGGGAAACCCACCTGTTGTTGCAGTCGATCCAGGGCATCTCCGTTTTGAACGACGTGAAGAAGTAGTAGATGGAGTAGCCTATGATGACACTATAGTAGGTGGACATGAGGAACGAGACGACCACGCTGGCGAGTCCGGCTCCTGAGGAGGCAGAGAAGAGGCCATCGATAAGTAACCCAGCTCACCCAAATCAGTCGGGCATCTCCAGCTGCAGCTCAACA